AAGGCGGCGCGGGACCTCTATCTCGAGTGCGTACAACTTGTGCTGCGCCTCCAGGTTGACTGGCTCGTCAACGCGAAGGGCCACAAGGCCGAGCTCGAGACTGTTGTTCGAGATCTGTGGGACCTGCGGCTCCCGCGGAAAGCCCCGCGGCGGCAATTGAGGAGCAGATGCTGCACGACTCGACGTCTGAGGCAGAGCTCTCCGTGTTCAGCTCGCAGCCGACGAGCGAGCAAGACGAGAGCGGTTCAACGCTTCCGCATCGGAAGAAGAGAGCGAAAAGTTGGTCTTCGGATGCGGGCGATGGCTGGCCAGCGCCGCGGCTGCCAGATACGCTGGCGCTCTGCTACCTGGGGTGTCTGCTCCTGAGGGCGCCGACACGGATCGGTGACTTTGTTCGGTGGGCGAAGGGCGGTAACATCACGTACAAGCAGGCGGTAAGCAGCAACCGAATATTTACCTGGACAGCATGGGGCTGACTATTATGCCAGAGCCGCCAGATACCGCAGGAGATGTGGAACAGGTTACCAGCAACCCACCAGAAACAGTTTCAAGTGGCGGACCTGGCACGGTTTGACGACGGCGAGCTCCATTCATCTGTGATGAACCTGGCGCTCTCTTTTCACGCGAACTATGAAATGGTGTTCCCGCCCCTGAACGACGTCTTGATAACGCTTCAATATGTTAGGGAACTCGGTCTGCCAGGTTTGTCTGCTCACCTCTATCCTGCGCTCAACGGCAACTGACGCATGCAAGTTGAAATCGTGTCTGTTGCGCGACGAATACCACCGATCATGACTCTGGGATACTCGTTCCCAGTGGAGGCACCCAGAATCAGAGCGATACATCACCCTGAAATTCTACTGAGTTGCGTTATCGTCCTGGCAACGCAGTGGTGCTTTCCGTTTGAGCATGTCTCCCTGCCTTCGCAAGACGACAACGTTCAGATTCCCAAACTAGATTGGGAAAAATGGCACGCAGTCATGTCACAGGCTGTGAAAGAGGCACAAGCAATATCTTCGACCAACTATCGGACCGCAACGGCGGCGGATATCACCTCCATGTCACCAGATGAACTGGACAGATATTTCACACATATGGCGCTGCACATCGGAAGCAAAGGTATGAAAACGTTCGGACTCAAATCCAAGACAATGAGCTGATTCCATCCACAGACGAAAACGCATTCTTGGCCGAATTCTTTCCCATTGAAGACGCTCGACCGAAAGCTGCCGAGCCTGAGGAGGCTGACGATGCACTCAACAAGAGGTTGCAGAAAGTCCAGATCGAGGCGGCCAGTTTCGACGAGGAGAAAGAGAGACAGTCATTAGGCACGAATCTGCGATACTTCTCCTACAGAACTTTAGGGGACTTACCGCCCCACGGGCGAGCATTTTACGACCGGGCAGCTCAGCTTGCAGGCCTGTCGACGGAGTCCCTACTCAAGGCTGTGAATATGCTTGAGTTGCAGATTAGGGCATGGCGGCGGAGGCAGAGGAAACAGGTGACCAACACGAGCTCAATGGCAACAACAGACGCCGCAGACGCAGCGTCAACAAGTGACGAGGTTCAGGACGACACAATTCATGGAGGACGTTGATAGCGAGACGCTGCAAAGACCTTACTAAACATCTGCAACTAATGATATTGAGAGACCAATTGAATGAGAAGAAGACCATCCCAGTCTCTCGTTCAGTGACTGTCGTTACCAGGGGCCTGGTAAGATGCTCAAGTAGATCATTAGATAGCTCGCGCGTCGGAGCGACGTCTACTGGGATGCACGGCACGACCTGTTGTGAGGCATTCCCACAGGCTTTGGTGTCGCGCAGCATTCTCACCCGGTACTGATTTATTGCCTGCTGCTCCACCGTGGTGTGCTGTACTTGTGCACCTGCCGGCCCCCACATCCATGTGACCACCCGAACACTCTCGGGGCATCCAACCCTAAGATTTTTTCTCAATCGGCAAGACAGGCGTCCCCACCAATTGTTCGTGAGAGCCGCGCAGCAGTGAACTTCATCGTCAACATCAATCACTCGCGAAAACCGGCAAGAGTAAGTAAAAAATGCACCCTGCACGCTCGATGCACACATGACAGACATTCGAACAGAAATGCTGACAATTTCACAGTGCAGATGTGAGTTTCCCCGATCCCCGACGACTGAACGACGCACAACACGGCATCCAAGCGAGCCGCCACCACCCCCCCTCCGAGATCGACGACAACTGACGACGATGCGACCAACAGTTTCGTCAAGACCCTGACGGGCAAGACCATCACCCTTGAGGTGGAGTCCTCCGACACCATCGACAATGTCAAGTCGAAGATCCAGGACAAGGAGGGCATTCCCCCCGACCAACAGCGCCTGATTTTCGCCGGCAAGCAGCTCGAGGATGGCCGCACTCTGTCCGACTACAACATCCAGAAGGTCAGTGAGAATGACGGGAATACGAATATGAGGGGTAGTTCTTTTGCTTTCTGAGCAAGCAAGAGGGGGAAAGATTTATGAGACAGGACATGCTGCGGAAACACCCACAAAAACGGATGCTAACACCCTCGAAGGAGTCCACCCTCCACCTGGTCCTCCGCCTCCGTGGTGGAATTATCGAGCCCTCGCTGAAGGCTCTTGCTTCCAAGTACAACTGCGACAAGCAGATCTGCCGCAAGTGCTACGTACGTTCCTCTCGCCAACAACGACCCCACACGGCAGACCATAATCTAACAAGTAGCTCAGGCCCGTCTTCCTCCCCGTGCGACCAACTGCCGCAAGCGCTCGTGCGGTCACACCAACCAGCTCCGCCCCAAGAAGAAGCTCAAATAGACGACTCGCTCGTATGTCATGGATATGGCGTCTGGGATTGGTTTCGGCATTCCGGCAGGGGATGGGATGGTGCAGGGGGCCCGAGAGTGCCCTTGGGTCATCTGGCTTTGTGGAGGCCTGCGCTCGATGATAAGACGAATCGCAGCAAATTGAGCATGCCGTAAAATTCATGATGAACCGTTTTGTCGCAATGTGAGGGGTTTGTGCACGTGCGAGCTGCTGAAGTGACCTCAAGTGCATACAGTCTAGAATAACGAAGCTGCCATACGCACTATAGCGCCATTGCCGTGGAATGACGAATACTCGATAGCTCGGTGAGCGCCCTGCTTGGCTTCCATCTTGCGCGACCACTCGCGGCTTGCCTCTGACCTGTACATCACGTTCACAGTACTGTGTGCGTGTGTGTGTGTGTGTGCCGGTGCCTAGTGGAGCTCTCGTCACATTTCGCCTATCTGCATACGTCCCTTTGACCCCACCTGTTATCTGCATTTCCAGATTACGACACCTTGCTCCTGAGCTCCAGGCCAGCTTCGACCTCTACCCGACTCGGCATTCCCTTGCAACTACAGTCCCTACCCACGAAGCGCGCTCGCCACATTCGAAACGCGTGCAAGATTCAACAATGTCTGGCTCAGGATACGATGCGGTGGTCGACGTCGATGATGACGTGAGCTACCAACTCTTCGTGCCATGAGCTGTTCCAGTGCTAACTTTACATCCTAGGGCGACCTTGGCCATACCGATCTCCAGGACGACCTCGAATTCCACTCGTCAAACTTCAACGACACAAATGCTGGTGGTCGCAAGTCAGCTCCATCAGCCGGTCTCCCTCCACCCGTGACAGCATCTTCATCCTCATCCAAGCGCTTCCTCTGGACCCTATCGTTCTACGCCCAGTTCTTCGACGTTGACACATCTGCCGTGCTCTCCCGCTGCTGGGCTGCGCTGTACCCGCGCGCCAACTTCCTCGACGTCCTCGAGGGTAATCCCGACCTCTATGGGCCGTTCTGGATCGCTACGACTGTGGTCCTCATTCTCTTCCTCGGAGGCACCATCAGCGCGTACCTCGCCGACACTGGCGACCATCCTTTCGCCTACGACTTCAAGCTCCTGAGTGGTATGTAGATCCGAAAGGCGCAGCTTCATGACACGATCAATGGCTAACAGGCAATCTCAGGCGCCGCCGGACTTATCTATGGCTACACTCTCTTCATCCCTGTCGGCCTCTTCCTCGCCCTGCGGTACTTCGGCTCCGAGTCGGCTAACCTGCTCGAATGCTGGGCGCTCTATGGCTACTCCAATCTCATCTGGATACCCGTAGCCCTCATTAGCTGGTCGCCCATTACCATACTCAACTGGGTCTTCGTGGCTGTCGGGTTCGGCCTCTCAGTCGCCTTCTTGCTGCGCAACCTCTACCCCGTGCTCAGCGCCACCGACCGCCAGACGAGCAAGATTCTGCTCATCGTCGTTGTCGCCCTGCACCTGGGGCTGGTCGGTGACCATCAAGATCCTGTTCTTCGCGCACGGGAGCCCCGTTGCAAGCCCTCCCAAGGAGACGACAAGGGCGGCGCGGCCATGTTCCTTTTCTAAAGCGGTTGTGGTCAAGGGAACGGGCAGGATGGATTTGAGTTATGATTGGGCGCCGGCTGCGCGGTCTGGCTAGAGGCCTTGTGTACTGTGTACAGTATTAGATCTATGATGTTTCCATACGCTCCTGGGAGGGACGATGTCCTACCCACAAACGAGTGATTGACGCCCCGTAAACCTGTCCCTCATGGCGACAGTGCCACGCAGAGCACCAATACTGCGACTCACGAGCCCTTCTCCCCCATACAGACCATATTGCATGACACGTTGCCCGAATGTCATCCTACCCGTAGGAAACACACGGCTGCAGTACTATACATCAAACATTGCCCGACGCACCAGCCAGCGCCAAACCCAACATCGGGCACTCCTTACACCAGCAGCAGCAGCAGCAGCAGCAGCAGCGCACACAAGACGGAGACGGAGGGAAAGCCGCCTCACGGGTCCTGCGGCTTCTGCGCCCGGCCGCCGTTCTTCTCCCAGTCGAGCCAGCTGCCGGGGTACTCCCCGACGCCGGTCCAGCCAGCCTCCGTGGCCAGCGCCGCCGCCGCACGGCTGCGCACGCCGGCCTTGCAGTAGAAGACGAGCTCGCTGTTCTTGGCCGGCCTCTCGAAGCCGAAGCGGTCCTCAAACTCCTCGGCCGTCACGTGGAAACTCTCGGGGTGTGTCGTGATGGGAATGTTGATCGCGCCGGGGATGTGGCCCGTCTGGCGGACCTCGCCGGGCTCGCGCGTGTCTATCGGTTCTCTGGGTTAGCCCGCTGGTATGGTTGCTCGTTTCTCCAGATGGGTGTGCATGTGTGTGTGTGTACGCCAGGCTCGGGTACCTGAAGACAGATACTGGAGCACGGGGAGACGAAGGAGGAGGGGGAAAAGGCAGCAAACGTACCGACGATGATGATGCCAGACTTGTTGCTGTCGACGGCGCGTTCCAGCTGGTCAAAGGTCCAGAGCTTGGTACCGCGGGCCGACGTCTCTGTGGTATTTCTCGTTCAGACGCCGTCGATGACGAGCTGGGAGTATAGCCTGAGCCGGGGATGCGTCGCCGGGCGGACGGCGAGACGAGTCTGGAAGGCGGATGTCGTGGTGGTGCTGCGCAAGCAATTGGCGTGTGATGCCGTGGTGGCGACGCATGGCCGCGCCGAACGGACGAGAGCTGTGCGGAGAAGGTGGGCGCTTTGGCGAGAGGTGGCCATGGCGAATGTGCACTTTCGGAATGCGACTGGGTTGAGACGTACAGTACAGGACTCAAGTATTGGCAGGTTCGAGCCTATCGTTGTTGGAGGGTGTTGAGCTTTGTCTGACAATCGGTCGAGGTCAATTCCGAGGCCCAGAACCGGAAGCTCGAGAGGACCCGCTTTTGGCAGTTTCGTCATTGACCAGCGCTTTTGAACGCACCTGGCTGACATGACAACAAACCGCCGTGTAGGCAGCTCACTCGTACCAGGCGACACGTCCAACGATTATTCTCGAACTCTCATTCTCATTAACGACCTCATGCTGGATGCTCGCTCATCTACCCCAAAGTATCATACCCTGGCCTAAATAATCCTGGCTCGCCCTCCCCAGCGGCCTTCGCCGGGAGCGACGGAACCCCCGGGCTGCAGTGAAAAGGGACATAAGCCCAGAAGAGAAGAAGGAAATGTATATACACGGAAATAGTGATTACAATTAGTGAAGAGCGTCCCCGTCATAGAATGGTCGTGTCTTTCAAGCCCCAGGGCCACGCGACCGGAGAAGCGTGGCGCTCCTGTTGTCGACCACTAGCAGTGGTTCGGGCTTGATCGTCTCACCAGTCATTGTGCACCGTCAGGCTGATCCGTCATCCTGAATCTTGGGCACCACCTGCCGGGTTTCGATTGGCGAAGGGCATTCAGCCGCATCGTGGAGGTAGATCTGACAATCCAACCTCCTATCTTACGCCGCAACGCGCTCCTTGAACGTCAGAGGGCAATCATCCTAGAGGGCAAAAAGAGTCAGTTCTGCCGCTCCCGCCAAACGCTTCTCTACTTTTTTTCATCTTTAGACGTACCTTAGGGAAGATGGTGGCAAACACCTTGATCTCCTCAGACAGGGGGGTGGGGTGATGCGTCCACTCCAGCTGGAGCGCGGCCTTTCCAATCATCAGCGCCAGGTTCAGCTGCACGTACACCTGGCCGATGCAGTAGTGGGGACCTGTGCCGAAGACGAGGAAGTTCTTGGAGCCCTTGACCTCAGCGTCGCCCGTGTAGTAGCGCTCGGGGTCGAATTCGTCGGGCCTCTCGTACACCTCGGGGTCGCGGAGCGCGGGCCATACAGACGGGATGATCATGGAGCCTGGATGATATCAGCAACTGTTACGACGTCGCACGATCATGCGAAAACTCACCCTTGGGCACGGTGTACTCGGGAGTGACGGGGAAGGCCTTCTTGGCGACGTAGGGAACCATGATGACGGGAGGGCGGTAGCGAAGAAGCTCACGGACGACGGCGCGGGTGTACTTGAGCGACTCCAGCTGCTCCAGGTTAAGCTCGGCATGGATGTCGCCGTTGCGGACCTTCAGGTTCTCCTCGCGGATACGGTCAAGGATATCAGGGCGCTGGGCCATGATCTGGAAGAGCCACGTCGCGGCACTGCTGGTGGCGTCCTGAGAGGCGAAGAGGAAGGTGAAGATGGTCTTGGCAATCTCGTCGTCGCTGAACTCACGAAGGTAGGGCATGGGCTTGGTCAGACCCTCGGCCTGGCCAGCAGCCTCAGCGTCGCGGTACTTCTTGGACTCCTGAATGGCCTTGACCCAGCCGTCGATGAGCGAGTTGACTTCGCCGCCGGCAGCCATGCGAACCTTGCTCTTGGCGGAGCACTTGGCAAACTCGGCCAGGACCATGTCGGCAGCCTTCTTTCCGTACCAGGTGCGGGTGTACGGAATGATGACAGGGAAGTTGACGAGCTCGAGGGCGGCGGTGATGAGGTAGTAGTCGTTGGCGATCTTGTCGACAGCATCGTCGGAAATGTAGTAGCCAACGAAGGTGCGCAGAGAGACGGCGCACATGAGGTTACGCAGCTCAGGCATGAAGGGGACAGGCTTGCCGCCAGCGTCCTTGGTGACCTTGAGGAAGCGGGCGAAGTAGTCGCGGTACACGCCCTCCTGACCAGGAAGGTACGAGTCGAGGGCCTGGCGAGTGAAGAGCTGGTTCAACCCCTTGCGGAAGTCAACGTGAGCCTTGCCGTCGAGGAAGACCCAGTTGTCATGTCCCAGGAGCTTGGGGGCGACATCGACGACGCAGGGGGCAACGTAGGAAGGCGAGTTGAAGATCTTGCGCGATAGATCACGGGTGGAAGCAATGACAACAAATCTGCAAAGAGGTGTACAGTCAGTGTATTGTCACGAAGAGGGGTGCCGGTAGAAAGAGGCAGACTGACTTGTGGAAGACGGAGACACAGCTCAGGGGACCGCTCGCCCACTTGGCCTGGTACTCCCAGAACTTGGGGTCCATGGAGGACAGGAAGGGGCCCATGAAGGGAATCTTCCATGCTGGGCCGACGATGGAGCCCTTACGAACGATATAGCCGACTACAAAAAAGCATTGGTCAGTTGAAAAGCTTCCCGGTAGGCAGTCGTGACTGCACAGCAACGACGATGCGGCAGGCGAGACATACTCTGATCGTACGCGACCAGGAGAGCGAGAACCGTGAAGACGATGGTCCAGACGCTGGCGTTGGAGACGGCCTCGATCACGCTGTCCACCTGTGGTGGGATGGAGACGCTGGCAAACTTTGCGTTCGCCAGAACGGAGGTGAAGGTCGTGTTGGCGTCCATGGCTACGGGCTGTTGCGAACTCGAAGTCTGCTTGTCAGCGAAGCTGCTGAAGCGACTTGCTTTGGTCGTTCGAGGGTGAGGTTGAGCGAAGGACGGCCACGAGCTCTCTCTCTCTCTCTCTCTTTCTCTCTCTCTTTCTCTCTGGGCGCGACGAGTTGCGCGAGGGCAGATGTTCAACCAGAAGCAAGGCGCTGAGGTTCAAAGGCACACACACACGAAGGTCTCGTCGTGTGCTGTACACGCGCAACTGTGCAATGGGATTGCGGAAAGGAATGCGAAGGGGGTGGGTGGAGGAAACGGCACGGGGGGGGAGGGGGCGGCGTTCGATGTTATCAGTTTTCCTTGGGAGGGACGACCTCACATGGAAGTAAGGTAAGTGGAAATGCAGACTTCTCGGAGCAGTCGCGACCCTACTGGGCACCACCGTCCACTTTGACTCAAACAGGCCTCACATTGTGCACACAGGGTCTGGCCTGGTCAGGGTAAGGTACCTACCCAGGTAGGTAGCCTGGGTGATCACCGTTCAGCTAACAGCACTTAGGTGGTGGCAGGCGGGAAACAAGGTGATGTATTCATTACTCAGCACGAAGAAAACACTGCAATCATGGCGGGAGCACGGGTCTCCATGACTGAGATTCCCGTCTTTCCACGGAGGATGGGGTAAGGTCGCAGCGGTGCAGCGGATGTTGCGGGTGGTGAACGGACACAGTCGAAATTACCAGGTGCTCGATTGCGCAACGGACCAACAGGGCTGGGTCGGCGCGCTGTCAATTTTTTTGTTGGGTACACCCTAAGCGGCAGGCTGTGATGCAGCACGAGCCCGCGCACGAGCCAGCCTTCAGGGGATGGCCGGGCGACAAGGGACAAGGGACAAGGGGTGAGGAGGGGAGAGCGCGGACGGACCACTGTGGCCCTGCGATTCCTTCCTGCCAAGCGGACAGAGGACAGGGCCCTGGGAGGCTAAATTACCACGCCATCTCGTCCAATCTTGTCGGATGTCATTGGCCGATCATTCGAGGTGGTGCGAATTTGGTGGTGAAGTGCTTGGGCTGCCCAGTATCTTTTTTTTTTTTTTATCCACGGCGCCGCGATTCACACGGTGGAGAAATTATGTCTGTCTGGTTGTGTCTCAGTCCCCTGCTTCCGTCAGTCACTTGGGTATCGAAGCAGCAACAGCGGTCGCAAATAGCAAGCAACAGTGCAGCATGTGCGTCGTTGTCAACAAGCATTGTTCGATCTGCCTTGCCAATTGATGTCATTTGACTTGATACAGAGTTCACCGCAGTTCGCTTCGTCCACCTCAGTACGACGTCAGTCACTTGACTAGGTAGCTACGGCATGAACGGGTAGGGATAAGGGGGGTGGGAGGGGCGTGGCGGGCTCTCATGCCCACGAGGCACGTCATGGGAGTTTGGCCAGATCTGCACATGTTGCATCCGCCAGAGGAACGAACAACTAACTGTACAAGAACAGGAACAGTCAGTCAAATGCTCACCTTGTGCACGACCCGTCGATGCCGCCGCTTGAGATTGGAGCTCCCCCATTCGCCAATCACGCCTTTCCTTCTCCCACACCGCCTGCCATCCAGCATACGAATACGAAAGAGTGGGACCTCCGGACCGTCCGGACAACGACGAGACGCCGTCTCGGCGTCAGAGACATTCTCGACTGCCTGAGTTGCTTTTGGCCTGGCTGTGCCGGACTCACTCGGGTCTCGGGCTCGAATGCGATAAAAAACGGGACCGGGCTCATTCGTCGTCTTCCTACAGCTCCGACCCGCCTCCCCAACCCAGTATTGATGGGTGAGCGGCCGATTTTTTCAATTTACACGTTCTTAGAGGGCAAACACGCACTGCACAGTAGGGGTATCTATCGCATTGGTCTAGTCTTGGCCCGACGCTCCGTCGTCTTCTCGTGATGCCGAGTGCCGGGCGTGCCGAATTTCAGTCCCGTCTCCAGTTTGACTTCCGTAATTTGCTCACATGGGAGCAACTCTTGTTACATCGCCTCGGCTTCAGTGTGCGTGTCAGTCCATCCCGTAAACGCAAGACTTCAACAGGTGACGCCGCTTAAAAGCTATCATTCAAGACGTCATCGTTCATCTTGACCATAGTGGGGCTGTATTCTGAGCTGTCGGGCTCAGCGCCGGCCGTCATCAAGATGTCGTCTACAATCCGCTTGCTAGCCTCCCGTGCTGAACGCAAAGACAAATCAAACGCAATCAGCCTACGTGGAACCACAAGCCATGGGACAAAAACAAAACATACCGGGTGTCTGCAACAGTTTGGAGGGCGGCAGTGCAAACTGAATCGTCTTGGGCGGGCTTATGCCACCGAAAGCACCCTCGTCGCTGTCGCTGTCCCAGTCGATTTCATACTTCTGCCTTGTCACGGGGGCCTCGGTGGTAGTCGTCGTGTCGTCGTCCTGCGGGAAAAAGTCTTTCGTGCGCCGCGTCGAAGCAGGCGTCTGCACGCTGACGCCTGGCGTCCTAGGTCCGGCCGTCGCGGCGGCAAGTCGCTGACGCGCCGCCGACTTGACGGGGGACATGAAAGCCTCGCTCCGCAGCTTGGGCGCCTCCATTACGGGCGACGACATGGGCGAGTCCTGCCATGACGGAATGCCTTCTTTGCCCTTGCCCTTGCCTTGGCCTTCGTCTTCCTTTTTGAGCGGCGAGATGCGGTACTGGGGTTCCTTGTGCGGCGTCGCCTGGAGCCTGTAGGTTTTGTCGAGCATGCGATGGAGCAGCGGGTCCTTGTTTCCTCGTTGTATTGACTGCTGTGGCTGGGGGAGTAGCGAGCGCGGCGTCATGGACATGTCGGGCAGACGAGCAGTGTGCTGCGCAAAGAGCACAGTGGAGTCTTCTTCCTCGAGCTCGTCCCCATCGTCCTCGGCATCGGGC